GACTACAGTCAATTTTGGTTTGACTATGTACGGGATGTCTTCGGAGTATTTCTGTGTACTCTGAGTGTTTCGTTTTCACCTTTTTTACTTCTCTTGTATTTGTGTAGTGTGATAAAGTGTGTTTGTTTGCCACGCCCGTTTCCCGTCTGTCTCAGATCCATCCTTTGCAAGCGCTCCTGAGATGAGTTTCTGACACATGATGTGACTGAATGACGAACATGAACGATAGGTTGTTACCATCCAATCATGAAATGCGTATCATGTACAGCATGATTTATATGACAGCCTTGGCAGGCTTGCGACCTTTTTTTTTTTTTCGAGGTGTATAGTATAACCTCTTTAAATATACCCTCATTAATTAAATAAATCAGACAATTCGGGTGTTATTTCTGGTCCTCGCAGGTATAGGTATTGTGTAATGGCATCAAGCTCCCATTAATTTGGTTATACTTGGCCACAAGCAGGTTAATTCAGACGATTCTATGGGAACATTAAGCTCGAAGTGCCGCAAATGTGTGATGCAAAGGAGCGAAAATAGGGTTCACGAACAACCAAAATGGCTGTGGGCCTTCAGAAAGGCGTGGTGGCTATCCACGATCTTACTGCAGTCACTTTATTGGTGACAAGGGCTTCAGCGGCTGCGGCAAGTATGTTCGTTGTCAATTTGGCCCGGCATATGGGAACTGTGTAGCCCTTATCTATAAACGTGCCGATAGTGATTGGAGTCAAAGTTGCAACTATTTTTTTTTTACTCGTAGGTGTCATACATAAATGTGCATTAGAGAAGTGTTGCATGGCAGTTTTATTCCGGCTCCAAACATAAGCCGAACACGTGCCTTCAGAACTGGGTGCACGCTGCAATTGTGCCTTTAGCGATCAGTGGTTTTGTCTGTAGTAGATGCAGTACTCTGTTGCTTTATTTTGACTTCGGTCATTACACATGCTATGTCAAAAGACTCAAAAAACATAGAAAAGCAGCTAAACATTAAGGCCTCCAGCCCCTGTCTGCTTGTTGGCATAAAGCTCGTTTACTACATCATAATTATGATTCCATGTTCTGAAAGTTAATCTTCTTTTTATTTTATTTTCTTGAAATTCAGAGGCTGTTTTACAGAGTTTGCTCTCCCTTTCTCTTTTTAAGGAAATTTGGCATTTATTGAAGTTTATTTCTCGGTGAATCTCCAATGATTTAAAATTGACTGTTTAATATTGCTTTACAGGCTGTTGAAATGTCTTCTAATTGATTTTATTTCTAATTAAGATGCATTGAATTGTTGCTGATGATCTATTATTCTCGATACTCTGTTATCTTAGATGATAAGATATCTGAACGCAAAAACATGTGAACACAGTAACGGCAGCTTTTTGTCTAAAGCTTTGAATGCGAAATCACATATACGTACTTAAATGAATACAAAGCAACGACATTTGTATTGCAACATTAAAGCTCATTGTAATAGACGCAAGCATACTTTACGAGGTTGCTGCCACTTATTTAGCTGCGCCTCTTTCGATTGATGATCGTCAGCTTTGGAAATGTTCTTTGAACATTGAAAATGCCCTTTTAAAATTGGAGCTTCCGAATTGTGAAAAATTGTACCGGTAAGTGTTTATCCGGATTTATCTGAAAACACGGAGCCCTAAATATTATGGACAATCGATTGCCGACCATTTTTCCACCGAAAACGTCACTGTCACATGAGCTTGACAGTATTGTTGGGAGCATCACTTAATGAAGGATGCGATAGGAGCACATTTCTCTCAAAACACAGGAGTCTTGAGCACCGGTCAAATCAGGCATGAAGTTGCAATTGATAGAAATTGCTACTTTTACACTGCTTTTATGCAGAATAAGTACTGGATTCATCAAGAAAATGAAAACGCATTGATGTATCGTACCTTGTTTATTGTGGTCAGTAATATTAAGAATGCTGTGCCAAGCTGTGCCTAGATGTCAAACCTGACACACCCTGCTATTTTTCATCTAAAATTTCTAATTTGCACCGAGCGTACGTCATGATGTAATTTATGTGGTTTCGGAGAAAAGCAATGCGAGAGTCATTTGCCGTGAATGCATTCTAATGTTTTCGGCTAGTGTAAATTTTTAGTTTGCCACTCAATAGAACACAGCGGGGCGTGCGTACGTGGCAGTACCTTATAAAAGCCACAGTAGCTCTACAGCACACAAATGTTCAAATCAACCCATGACAAAGACAGGCCAGTGTATCATGAAGTTTGCCTAGAGAAGATTGGTCTATTTCTGTCTTATAAATTGCTTTCTGCGTGTAGTGCTGTCATATTTTGCTTCTCAGCACCCCGACTTTCGATCGGCAGGATTTTTTTTACCACAGTTAGAAGGTGTTGCAGGGATACTTGAGGGTAGCACAGTCTAAGGACATTGACAAAAGAAGGTACATTTGAGACACCGAAGTGTCTCAGATATGCCTTTTTTTTTTTGCCCGTGTCGTTAGTCTGTGCTACCATCACTTATCATGATACCATACCAACAAGCCTAAATCGCCACCCTTTAAAGGACCAGTAAACAACCCCAAGATCTGAAAATTGTAATGACGAGAGATATGCGCACATGCTGCCGCGAGAATTTCACGAATACGTGCTTTTATAAAGAAGTTACTGGGGTCAGAACATTCGTTAAGGCTGGTGTCAAATTTTCGTGTGGCATGGGCATTCTTCTTAACCATAAGGAAGAGAAGGCATGACACCACATCAGCGATATGCCATTGGGGTGGAGCCAACAATTGCGCAGGGCTTCCCCCACGCATGAGCACGTTTCATAGTTGCGCGGAGAGGAAGTGCAGGGCAAGGAGCACCCTTCTTCTATCGGTAAAGTTGTGAGACTCCTCTCTATCTCCTCCTTAATTCTGGCAATACCGCTGCTCACGGCAGTCTCGGGCTGCACGAAATGGCAGAGGGAAGCGCAGGAAAATCAAAATGTAGACTGAATGGCCAAAACTGCACCATCGCAAGGCCAAGGTGCCGGTTCGTAAAGCGAAGGACCAATCAGCGAGCATGGTATGTCAAGTTGGCCATGGGCCTTGTTTGCTTCTCTGCAGTGTGAGGAGGGTTGGTCATTTGCGGCAACTGTTTTTCAAAAGGGGGGGTCTGCGCTGCTCGATGCTGTAGTATTCGAAAAACAGTAATCACTGCTGTACTGTACGGATTGGTAAGCTTGTATAGGTGGTGGGAAAAAAAGAGGTCGGAGCCTGTTTACTAGCTCCTTAAAGGAAGCTGAAGAGGTCGTAGAACTCAATAGAACTTCGTAGTTATCAAGGACCAACATTGTTGTCGGTAATTTTGTCATTTGCTTTCGCACTTGTTGCAGCAGGAGCTTCAAAATTCCTGAAAGAAAAATTTGTCTTGCTCATCCCGCCAGCTCACCGAAACTGTCGGTGTGGAAATCTACGTCAGTTTTCGGTTCCCTGGCGAAGCTGTTTTACACTGTAATACGTTCCCTGTTCACTAGACACCTTCAGCTCGTTGTCGTTTTCACTCAGCCATGTGCATATGTAGCACACTGAGACAGTGCAGGGAACTGCGTAGATTTTCGTGTTTTTGATTAGCTTGTTTTGTCGAGATGCTATGAACTTGGCTGCAAAATGATGGCAAAACCAAGTGGACGCTCCATCACCCTCCGCTCAGTCGGCTTTGTAAGTGGAGCAAAAAATATGATCCATATTCCAAGTGCTACGTGTGCAAGCACCTCTCGTATCTTCAGCCATGGCCTCCATGACAAACTCATGATGTGCCATTGACGAAGCTAATTGAATAAGCACGCTTCTGCAGCACTGCTGTTGTAAATAACGTGGCGTAATGAGGATGATGTTATCATGTCTGCACAGCATCTCGAGAAGCCTTGTGTGGCCATAGCCTCTCCTGCCAAAATGTGCTATTTGCATAATCTTTTGAGAACTTGCATCGCTTTTCGTATTCAGAAGGGATAAAACCGACAGCCGTTCTTATACACACCAAGATCTTTTTTTTTTTTTTTTTTTCCAACTGCTTCAGCTTTTCTTTAAAACAGTGGCCATTTGCAGATTACGGTTTCTGTGCCAGCAGCACTATTCATAGCATTCTTTTCAGAATGAGCAATGCGAATAATGGTATTGTCTCATCGGCTGCTGTTGTGAATGAGTCAAGTAGGGCTGAAGGATGCCATGGTAAATGTAGACTTTCACATCACTGCAGCCAAGGAATTTATCAGTCTTCTAATTGTCTGTCTCATTTAATGTAATCTCATGGAACCGCACATTGCACCCTAACAGCTGTGCTCAAATGTGAAATTAAGGTGTATAGTAATTGTCTCACACGCCTTCCCCCACCTTTTCTCTCTCTCTTTCTTTTTTTCTTGACTTTTATAAGGCTTCACTCGCAAACAAAACCATAGCGCTTCACGGCACAGACTACTCAGTGACGTTTGGGAAGGTTCAGAATTGTTTTGGTCTTTTTTGTTAAAATTACGGCACAGGGCATGACTCATCAAATTCACTGAAGAGCTTTCACGAGTGCCTCTAGGTAACCCTGGAAAGTTCAGTCACTGATGTATAAAAGACAGTGTTTTGCCAGTGATCAAATTACCGGCAACCAACAGCTGTGCTTATTGTACTATAGCACATATTGCTTTTTCTTTTTTTTTCCCTCTCAATCACCTCTCCTTCCTCCAGGCACAACCTTGCTCAATAAAGAGGTTCATTTTCAACAGTCATATCGTCACCTCCTTCATTGTCCTGACCACATAGTGTAATCATTCGTGTCTGTGTGTTACTTTTATTTTTACTATTTTCTCAATGTTTTTTCTTGGCATGTGTGCGCTCATGAAAGAGTTCTAACAGATGTAACACTTGGTTATATTGTAATGTCACACAGCAACGTATTAAAGTAACCAATGCATTTTTGTGGGTTCTGTAAAAGATGTTTTGGGGAGAGCCAATTTTTTTAGCACTGTCTAATGTTTGTGTGCTTGTTGCTTCCTTTTCACTTAGCCCGCAGGGGAAGAAGTTCCGCTCACGGAACGAGTTGGCAGCCTATTTGGAGGAGGTGAAGAGCACACTCACGGTGTCGGACTTTGACTTTACTGTCAAGGGTGAGCAGTCCAAGGCCAAATCAGCTGGACTGCCTCCACCACCGTCGGCACTAAAGCCAGTAACGCCAACTCCAGTCAAGCGGGAAAAGAAAGTGTCACCCGAGAAAAAGCCAAAGTCCAGCAAGAAGTCGAAATCTGAGACGAAGCCACCTGTCGAAAAAAGGGTACCGGCAGAAAAGAAGACACAGTCGGTAAAGAAGGCTGCCCCCGAAAAGAAGGTGTCTTCTTCCGGGGCCAAGCCAGTGTCTTCACCAGCGCCACGAACAGGTCGTAAGTTAATGGTCAGACTCAATTTCACTTCCCCGAAAAAGCGAATACTGAAAAACTACTCTGAGAATAAGGTTGAAAGTGGGGACACGGGGGGCGGGACGGATGATAGTTCGGAAAGCCCGATTCCAGTAAAGTGCGAAGATCAAGTGCCACCGGAAGCAACGGACGAGAAGAAGCGGACTGAGACAGGGCTCAGCACGCCAGAAGTGGATTCTGGCGCTGTTTCAGGAGCAGATAGCACACCCAAGAGCGAGCCTGTTACGAAGAAGAACAAAGAAAACGCCGTAGACAAAGTCTCAACTAAAAAGAAAAAGAAGAAGGAAAAAGAGGAGGCACCGGCAAAAAAGCCCGACAAAGTTGTGACTGCGAGAAAGGAAGCTCCACAGAAGCCTGAAAGCCGGATGCGGAAACGAAAAATAGTGGAAGTTGAGGACATGCTTTTCAAAGAGTTTGACAGGCTCGAACGGAAGCCAGTAGTGAAGCCAAAAGCAGTACCTGAGGAGAAGAAGGTCGAGTCTAAAGACAGCATAGCAGATGATGTGGCTGCCATCAAAGCAGCTGACGCTAAGGTTGCTCCAGTGCCAGATGAGAGCAGGAAAGACCAAGCGAAAGAAAAGCATGAGGGAAAGAAGATCAAGAAAGTGGAGGGCAAATCTAAGACTAAGGCAGAGCCAGGAAATGAAAGTTGAAACCAAACAAGAATCTGAATCCCATCCAAAAGTAAAAGAGCAGACTCCCAAGGTTAAAGGTCATCAAAAGGGCAAAGCTCAAGTGAAGGACAAATCGCATGCTAAGCCGGAAAATCAGAATGATACTGAGCGTAAGTCTAAAGTAAAGCCTGTGCCAGTACCACAGCCAGAGTTAGAAGCCGCAGATAAGCCTGAAGCCCACTCTGAAAGTGTGGCTGATTCTGAGGCCCCAGATCAGTCTGGCAGCCAACCCGAGCCACAATCCGAATCCGAGCTCCTGAATCAGAAGATCAGCCTGAGCCTGATGTTCAAGCAGAGCCCGAAGCTTCATCCATGTTCGAAGACAAAGCAAAGTCCGAGGCTGAGCTCGAAGCCCGGCCAGACTTCGATGGCCACTCGAAGTCCAAGCTCCTTATTGAAACACCTGTTCAGTCTAAAGCCACGACCCACCCCAAGGCCGAGTCAAAACCTCCGTCAGAGGGCAAGTCGGAGGCAAAGCTTCAGGAGAAACAAAGAACGAAGCGCCTGAAAGAAGAAGATGTTGTTAACCGCATAGCAAAAAGATCTAGAAAGGACAGTGAACAAAAGAAGGAGACAGAAGAAAGTTCTGAAACTGGTGCACCTGAAAATGGTGCAGAAAAGGATAGGCAGGACTCGGCATTAGAGCCGGGTGAGGCTGCCCCCAAGTCGACACACACGCCAGAGGTACAAGCTTCACCTAAGAAAGGTAAGAAGGAGGGTGAAAAAGATAAGGTGAAGGAAAAGGATGCAGCCGAATCAAAGCCGGTGCGGGAAAAAAGCAAGCGGCAAGCGGAGCGGCAGTCGAGGAAACATGACATTGAGAAGGCACTGTCTTTGGACACCAGGCACGGTACCGAGAGGCAATCCCGAAGAGCTGGCAAGGCAGACAAGCCGCTGTCACCAGGCATGAAACGTGATGGTGAACGGCAACCAAGAAAAGGTAAGAAGGCTGAGAAGACGCTCTCTCCTGGTGCGAAGCACATCTCAGATCGGCAATCCAGGCGGGGCACAAAGGTGCAGTCTCCGGAGGCAAAGCGTGACGAAAACAGCAACAAAAGCGACGACCAACTGTCCAGCATAGAACCGGAGTCGCAGTTTCCTACTGAGGAGCAGATCAGAGAGGCTGCTCGTGCGAAACTAGCAAGCAAGATCGAGAAACCGGTGGATCCGTACGAAATACCGCTGCCCCCTCCCATCGACATTCCGTCTGTACCAGATGAGGACGAAGAGGACGACATGGCTGTTGACGAGGCTGCGACCGAGATGTCGCAGCGAGAGCTGAGGTTGTTCGAGATGAGCCCGCACCTGATCGAACACAGTTACACCAAGATCCCCGACGACGAAGATGCGGATGCCGCAGAGAAACCGCATACGCCGTCGCCTTCCCGCAAAAGGGGCCGATCATTAGTGTCTGAGAACGAAGCCGAGCTCGACGAGGCGGGCAAGTCACCCTCGCCACGACGTCGGCAGCGGCGCAAGAAGGGAGTCGGCGAGAATGCCGTGCAGCACGAAGTGAAGGAGGATAAGTCGGCAGCCCTTATTGTGGGCCAGAGCTGAGCAGTGTGAAAGGCTGGCTCACTCGTGCCTCACACACTTTTGATTGTTGCCTTGGCTCTTTTGCTCCGAGGTCTTTAACCTGTATTTATCAAAGACTGAACCATTGCAGCAAAAAAAGCTCCACTCCCTCCTTCTGTCGCTGGAAATTATGGCCTTAGGCATACATGTCTTTTGGGTCCTATTGGTGACCTTTATATCATGCAAAGCTCTCAAAAAGGCGAGAAATGAGGGTGGTTGATCATTAATCTAGCAGTTTCTTGTTTTCTTTTTTTTTTCTGACCTGTTTGGAAGGTTCTTATGGTGGTTAATAATCGGCACTGAGGCTTACGAACATCGTTTGTTTGGTTGGAGGAGAGAGGTGGGACTGTTGTTTGTTTTCTGTTTTAAATCTGGGGGGGCTTTTTTTGTACACGCATTTCTGGATTGTCATTACTAGGTTGTATCATGCATGGTGCATAAAGCAGCAGGTGCCGCATTAATTTGTTCATAGCAAGTTGTACCTTGTTCGACCATGGACTATCATGTACAGTAATGAGACGTGTCATAAATTCATGGTCGTGTTTACTGTATCGTCAGTGTTCATTCACGGGCCGCACATAGTTTGGTCAGTGGAAATGGTCTGCTGCTGAAAGGGGGGGGGGGGCTGTTTCGTAAAATGCGTAAAACGAATGAGACGTCGCAGCCAATACTACAATTCTATGATTTGTTGAATGCAAACAAGATTGCATCTTTTGCAATGACGATATTGTCGACCATTCAAGTGCACCTTTAATTGCTCCTGGCTGTAAAAAAAAAAGATGTTTAGTTAGCTCATATGGAGCTTGAAACCTTTTCGATGGGATGCTTGCAAATTTAACAGCTCGTCCTTTTAGATGTTTCAGTTACGCCGCCCGAGGGTGAGAAAAGATCACATCTTCTGGGCGCTTGTGAAAACACTGTAGTGCATAAAAACCGTGAAACTTTTCGTTAAACGTAGCTCCTCGATTGTACTGACTTTATAAATCTTAGTTAAGCGACTACAGACGTGTTTTATTCTTGTCTTGTGCACAGACGCTGTTGAAAGGTGCGCATCTTTTTGTTCCACCTCAATGAATCGGGCTTGTGCGGAGTTCCGACTGTAAGATGTTTCTAACGGTCATTTTAACACCTTCCTTGAACATGTGTTTCGGAACTAAAAAATATTGCTCTACAACTGGCAACAAGGCTACTTTTGTGCAGTGCAGTTTTGGCGTTGTTTTGAGGAACTAAACCGAGGACATTTGGGAATAGTCGTTAGTGCAGTCGTTGTCTTGATGGCTGGCATGATTGGTACAACTCTTTAGGAAGGAGTATTTGGCTATTGTGCACTATTTCGGCACAGTGATTTATCGTTTACGAATGTCTTCACGCCTTCGTCACTGAAGGGGAGGGAGAAAAAGGTCCGAGGCAACATGGAAAGAAAAAAAGGAGATCATTGTACAAAGGTGTACATAATAGCATGGCTGTTTTTTCATCAAGTCAGTGCTTTTTGACCCATATATCTTTTGTTATTTTTTTCTTGAAAAACGTCATGACATTTTTTTCGTATACAACACCCCCATTACAGTTTGCAGCCTATTTGTAAATTTATGAGTGAAGGAAGAGAAAATTTCGAGGGCTGATTTCTTTGTGTGGCACAACCTAACTGAAAATTTGCTTGTTTTAGTAAAGGTTTTGTACATTTATGGCATTTATGTCGAATGGCCTTGGCTGATGTCGAATGGCCTTGGCTGCTCTCTTTTTTCTCTCATCGGCTTTCATCGTGTCGGCAAAATCGCTCAGTAGTACAATTGTGAGAAGCTCTGTGACATTTCTGTTGAAACGTGTTTTGAAGGCACGCACACTTACGCCCAATAAAATATAAGGGGAGTGCCGACCTGAACATCTTTTTGCGTGAAGTTGCGTCTTTGCGCCATTGAATTCGTTTACCAGTGATTTTAGTATTTGCACTGGGTGGCATCAAAGCATTTATGCCGTCAGAAACGAAACCACTGTGTGAGCCGTCGCACAACTAAGCACCGTCAAAAGCTAAAACTTCCTTAGCCATTTTGATCACATAATACACACACAGGGCAGACACAGAAAAATCTCCAGGGAGATGAACTTGGCTGTGATGATTTTTCTTCGCGTTCGTGCTTTCCTTTGAAAACAAACCCTATGTGAAAAGTACTACGCTCACAGTGGTAAATGCTATGAAAAAAAAGAAAAAGCTTGTGATATAATAATTTGTGTGATTAGACATAATGCACAGTCCCCGTAGTTTCGGGGAATGGGTCATTCCAATGTGTGTGTGGGCATTGCTTTTTTGAGGATACCTGTATCATTTCTTCATAGTCTCAGCTTGCATGGCACCACATTTTGCATCAAGCAAAAGGGGAGGCCAAAAGAGAGGAGAAAAAAAAGGAAGGTCATCACGCCCTGCTATTCCCTAGGAGGTTTTATCGACAAATGATTCACAAGTTTTATAAAAAAATACACAAACTGCATAAGTGCTGTGTGTCTCATGTTTCCCTAATTGTGCAAATCCACTGTAAATTGCTACGACTGGCACTCTGCCTTCCCTTTGCTTATCCCTCTCCGTATAATTCCACTGTAGTATTTCATGACAAATCATTGTTCAGTACAATAAAGAACTCATTATCATGCTGTCCACAAATAGTTGTTGTCGTTTTTGGGGAGCATAGCACTCGAATATGGGTTTTGGCATAAAAAATTTTATTTGACATTAAAAGAGCATATGTTCTAGGTTGGAAACGACCATTTAACTAGCAAGCAAGAACTAAACAACTGTAATATCTCAAGGTGCTCTACTTTGCGCTAAGTCTCGTGTATTGGGCTGCATTTACTGGTGACATTTCATAGATGTGTGTGTTCATGTGTGTGTGTCCATGTGTGTGTGTGTGTTTCATAGATGTGTAGAAATGCACCTCACAAATTAGCTTGTTTTGAAAAATTTTTGTCGGTACCCTTTTAAGGACGTAGCAATAAGTATTGTGCTTTTGTAAACGTTCCGTTAATGAAGAAATGGGATAAATGTAGGAAGGTATGTAGGAAGGTATTGGTGTTGTTACTACAATTGTGGCAGGAACTTCAGGTGTAAAATACATTTCAGTAATTAGTTTCTTTGGTCAACAACTGAAACATTTAGTGATAGTGTTTATGATGCAAATTAAATACAGCTTAGAATATGTAATGAGGATTTATTTTAGACACAGAAGTCATTTGGGCAGTTTTTACATTTTGGTCTGTTTAAATTTTTCGTAGGATTGTGATGCATTCTCTTGCTGAGCCGCCAATTCAAAGCAGGTGATAACGACTGGCAGAGCATGGCCTCTGAAATCACAGGTGCGACATTGTAACAGACCACATTGTTTTCAGGTGGCCTGGTTGGAACTGCGGATGAATGTGCAAGCTGTTCAGTCATCATTTTGTAGCTAAGCCATCCTTTAGGATGATTTGTACATGAAAACTGTTGTGCGGAATTCTTTGAAGGGCAGTTTGACAATCTAGGTAGATTAATTTCTTGCGATGTTATTTCTTTAACATGAATCTAAAGGAGCACTCACACAAAGTTTTGAAGGTGAAATAATGAGCGAGATTAGATTTATATGGAGACATGCGCAACATCTACGAGGTATCATCGAGGGCAAATATAGCATAGAACACAATCAAAATCAATTTAAAGTGCATGCTGCACAACTTCACGAGGTGTGGAGCCCCCGGTGACGCCGACTACAACATAGGAACGATGTAAAAAACTTATTTCACAAGCTTGTGTTGGCTGTTTGCTAGGACGCCTTGCACTTGCACTACCTTTAAATTCCTCCTCTGTGCCTACGACTTCGCATTGCCAGCGGTTTTTACAATGCCCCCAAAACTGCCCTTCCAAACCGAAACTGCAACTGAGCACTCTAGAAATGTTTTAAGTAAATAATCATCATGAGTTCGTGCAAAACAAGCTTCCCAGCCGTGATTAATAGGTCGTAAGCTATCTATTGCAACAAAAAAAAAAAAAAGTGCACACTAGTGTATATGCTCCAGTCTACGAAATTAGTGTCGTGAATTGCATCCACACAAAGCAGTGGCATGTAGAAGCAAAGTAGAGGAGAAAGACAACAAAGCATTGTAAAAGAAATACCTGGGAACCAAAAACAAGCACTAATAGTAAACTTGGCACCAGAAACATGACCATGTAGGAACACAGATAGTATGGTTGCCCAGTTTGCAATTGACATAAACATGCAACAACCATTCAAAAGTTGCTGCTGCTGGAGCAAGGAACCTTGTGGGTGGCGTGAGAAAACAATCGCGTTCTTATTAAAGTTAGCCACTGTGTTTTCTGTTCGCACAAGCAAACATGAATATATGTTGCACTAATTCCCTGAACATTCTCTTTCCACATAGCTGGGATCAAGGGTAGTGATTCGAACCTTATTTCAGTCCCACTGCCAGTTAAACTTGCATCAACATTTCACTTTGCGAGCTCAGAGTGATGCAGTAGCCAACGGATGCCATCACAGCTGTCGGAGGAGTTCAACGGAACGCATCTGTTTTCCCACACCTTTCGCCCTCTTCTGCTCTAGTGCTAGCTGTGCTTAACGACCTCTTATCTGCACAGTGCTCTTGCATTACATTGATGGGGGCACACTGTCCTGTGTTTTATTGTCTGTAGTATCTGTGAGAATTGTTTCTCTCAGCAAAATATCAGTTCCTGTTATAGAGCAGAAGTTTCCCATACATGACGTGACAACTTTCAGAACTTGCACCACCTCACAAGGCCGTCTTCAGAAAGGTCACGTCCGGTCTTTCTCAACTTTTAAATGTATCCGTTCCAAGTCTCCTTACTTGCCCAAGCTCTACTCTGTATCGAAGTGGCTGATGTATCTCCGAGACCACTTATGCAATGCTGGCAGCTTATCTACAATTGTGGCCGATATGGCATTTGGGGGTTGGCGGTGAACATGACTGTAGAAATTAATACCATGCTGTGTGGACATATTGAGGACTACAAAAATATCCTGGTTAGCTTAAAACGGGGATCTCAAACTTCCAGTTGGCTTGTGGGCTGCAGTCATAAAATTCAGGCCCACAGGGGCCGGAATAGTGAAGAAGATTTTAGCGCGTTTGTAAAAGAATACAAAAGAAAAGAGTACAGAGCATAGGTCGGCGGAAAAATTGGAGCTCTCTCAGATAAACTCGCGAAGTATCTGTTGCGCTTGGGGCTCACTCAGACTATACTTCCGAATATCTTCCTCGACCGGACGCACTCGGACACTCTCACTAAAGTCTTCCGCCACTGGACTCGCTCTGGCTCCATACCCGTTCCGAGTCGGAGGGACTCGACTCATGAGTGAGTTCACCGACCTATGACACAGAGCAAGCGTGTGCACCTTATTGGGGGAGACTTGGGAATGGAAGCAAAGAGGCGTTACGCATCCATTGAATGTCATTACCATCCTCCACTGAGTGTAAACAGCGAGCTGTTCAGCAGGCAAGTATCTTGCTATAAGTAGAGCTCAGTGGTCAAAAGCGAACCACCCCCTTTTCACTTAACAGTGAGACGGTTCCTGCCATGGCATAGCATCTGCGTGAGTGGGCAACAGCACCATGGATAGAATGTCGAAAAGATTAAAGGGAGGAAAAATCAGACAAGGTAACTATGAAAACATTTTCTTATTGAGGATCATTTACGACCTTGTTCTTGACATGTGGCAGTTTGGGCTAGTTGGTATGACATGACGATAAAAAAAAAACGACGACGACAATGAGACGTGAAGAACACGAGTGCTCGTGTCCTTCTTGTCTCTTTGTTGTAGTTCTATTCTCGCCTGTTCTCTATCGTCTTGTTCTTGACATCGAAATCGGCGTGAATGGATTTTTGAGCAGACAACAGCATTCCAACTGACTGAAATTAGGAGTGTCATTTTGAACAATGTTTGCTGCACTTCTTTTTAGTCCTGTTCGAAAAAATAAAGCAGTTTTTGAACTGGTGTGGCTCAGTAAATTTAGTCTTCGGCACCTTGTGCACAGTGATGAAGTTAAATGTGCTTAACTATTTGAACAGTAAAAGTATCAATTCTGCTCAGTTAGGAATCTTAGGGGAAAAGGACCATCTAATATCGATTGAAATTAAATAGAAAATTTCTGGGAGTCCATTAGGGAGTGAAGCTTAATATTGATACGGGACTTTCGTTTAAGTGAGAAATAGGAAGAAAAAGTGTCTGCGTTCTAGGCCAGGAGTTTAAAAAGCAAGGCACAGTCTGATTCATGGCCCGTCCCCTGGGTGGGTTGCGCCATGCTGTTGAGCAACCAACCAACCTTCCTTCTGCGGCCATACGTTATCTCGCCTGTACATCTCTCACCGTAACATCATTGATGGAGAGTGCTAGGTAACACCTTGGAGCACCGGACAAGTAGGGCAGAAGATGCATCCCTGAAGCTTTGCCGAAGCAGCAGACTCGCAGGATTGCCGCCGCTACTAGTCATCATGAATCCTGACGGTGAAATCCAACCAGCTGCGCCTAACGCTTCTGGACACCATTACAGGGAACAGCGCCCATTCTCTGGGAAACCTGACGAATACGTCAAGGAATGGCTCAAGCACTATCGGCGGGTGAGTCTGTATAACCACTGGGACACTGCCAGCCAGCACAACTATGTACCACTTTTCCTTGAGGGAACCTCGTTGATGTGGTACGAGAACCATGAGGAGAATTTGACCGCTTGTGCGAACTTCGTCGACGATTAAGAAGTGTTTTGGAGATACGACCATGACAAAGAAGGGTGCTGAGCCAACATGCTCAAGTCCCTGGGGAAATGTGTACGATATATATTCAGGAAGTTCTCAAGCTGTGCAAGAGTGTGGACCCACTAATGACTGATGAGGATAAGGTCGGGCATCTCCTTAAGGGCATTGCGGAGGATATCTACCACTACCTTATAGGAAATGATGACTTGCAACAGTAGGCGAATGACATCATCCAACATTGCTTAATATTTGAGGCCCTCAAAGCTTGACGCATTTCAGCAAAGTTTGGTAGCCCCCAACGTAACTACGGTCGCGATCATCGATGTTGTCCCTCTACCCAGCAACCTGGCGTCATCAATACGACAAATAGTGCGCGAAGAACTTGATTGGCGGGACGCTGCTGCGCAGTCTATAGCACATGGCCACAGATCTGTCAGGTCATGCGGTCACACACCTGTGCCCATCAACGCTACGGGCTTCGTCAACTCAAGGACGCCGGTACAGTCACATCGTCGTGCCTATATGTCTGATCCGTGAAACGACTCCGTACAAAGGTCACACCCTGATATGGCAGCATGGCAAGATTATCCCGCTGACCATCTTCAGCAGCGAGTGGGGCGTGAATCACCTGTGTGCTTTTACTGTATTGTTTGTGGATATATAGCCAGCTTTGCTCAGAGTGGCGCCGGGCACCTCTGTCGCAGTATCAACAAACCCCAGCATCCTCACAGCGTGCAAGTACTCGGGGAGACTATCGCTTGCCACCGAACGGCTACTACAGAATTAACTTTCAACAGACCTTCTGCAGTGATTCTCTGGCTCTTGTGTGGAGTGTGACGCCACCAGCCTCCTCCTCCCGCCAGCATCGGTCACCGCCACCAGGTCGTCGGCGTCTCACTTCTCCTCCT